TGTTTTATATTTTTGAATGTCAATTTAATGACATCATATACATCTGCGATGTCAATAATTTCATGTTCTCCATTTCCTACTGTAAGGAGCTATGTTGCAAATTTAAGGGTAACTTCATCCCCCCCCACCCCGCGACATAGCTCACATATTTTCTTTTGATTGCATGTTGTGGAAAAGTGGCAACAATTTTGAATTTTCCATGCGTGCATTCACTTGTTGTGCTCGAGAACCTCGAGTGAATATTGGTAATACTTGACTTGAATATCTGACCAGCACCACCGCTTTGCCTGCGAACGGGAGTGGTGAACCGCATAGATCACATAATGTGCGATCTAATCCTTCCAAAAAAAAAAGATAAGACATTGGAGTCTCATCTCATATTATTAGATTTGTTTTTTTCATCAATTGTGTTCGACCGAACTGCTTTGGTATTTTGAAGACAATGTTGTCGGAAAGTTGAACGGGTGCTTTGAATCTCGAATGGAATGGCCATCCGCCGTCTGACAAAGTTGCTGCAATGCCACTTGATGCAACTGCAAGAGCATCATTTTCTTTTACGCGGACTCCACAACGGGAATGGTATTGATAAAAAAATGTTTTGCCCGTTGGGTGCATAAAGGAACAGGCAAAAAGGTTCTTTTTTTGCCACCGCATCAACAACTCGTTGCACAAACCAATGTTGTGATGGGCGGAGGCATGCACACCGCGTGTGTGTTTCTTGAGTCGAGCTTTGTAAGTAAGTTCATCGCTGGCTATCGAGCTGCAACAAGGTGTACACGGCGCAACTCTCCATATCCTCATCTCATTCTTTGTCATCTGCAAGCAAGTCAAGTGCTCTACATGCTTCTTGGAATGTATCATGCACCATGTCATTAACCATTTTCAGTTTTTCAAAGGAATATGCCCCCTTTGAGTGTGAGTAAGGTGGGAAGGAAGTATGCATGTCCTTGTGCTGGGTGATTTTGATACATGCAGCCAATTTTGGCGAAGCCTTTTTCTGCATTACATTTTCTCGGTGCCCAATGATCGTTTTCCATGTGTATTTTGAAACAGCAACATACAACGGTAACTGTGTTTTATCCACATTTTCGTTACGTTCATCTAGATTCATTCATGCAGTAAGTTCGCCGACAGGCGGTCCTTTTACGGCCTCGTTTTGAGCATTGTGTGCGTTTAAATATACCATTTAAAAGTTTTCAAGATGAATGGGCAACCGTGCTACTTGGGGTAAGCTTCTGTGAGGTTGAATGCAAAGATTCTCCAACAGGGTGAGGTTGAATGCAAAGATTCTCCAACAGGCTTCAGATGCTCCCACAGATCTAAGTTTCTGGTAGGGAATGGTCTCATCGTTTGTTTTTCGTTCCGCTCTCCAACCATAGCACGATCATGCCCTTCGAATACATACTTAGTTTCTCCATGCTGTTCGTTCCGCATACTTAGTTTTTCCATGCTGTTCGTTCCGCTCTCCAACCATAGCACGATCATGCCCTTTGAAAACATAGTTTCTCCATGCTGTTCGTTCCGGTCTCCAACCATAGCACGATCATGCCCTTTGAAAGCACGATCATGCCCTTTGAAAGCACGATCATGCCCTTTGAAAACATAGTTTCTCCAGGCTGTTCGTTCCGCTCTCCAACCATAGCACGCTCATGCCCTTTGAAAACATACTTAGTTTCTGCATGCTGTTCGTTCCGCTCTCCAACCATAGCACGATCACGCCCTTTGAAAACATACTTAATTTCTGCATGCTACATTTCCACAGGCTTCAGCCACTCAGCCATACCTCCCAGGAAAAAAAGATTTGAACTCGTGACTTCGGAAGTGACAGACCAACACTCTAACCAACTAAGTTATTTTCCCATCTGGGTAATAACGGACTTGAACCGCTGGCTCTCTCGATGTAAACGAGGCACTCTACCAACTGAGCTAATTACCCAAATGTGTTATTCCCAATCTGAACGGGCAGCGTTGCAGTGGATCTTCTAAAGCCAATATTTAGTAGTTACTTCTGTATTTCCATGGGCAGTTTCTTTCAATAAAATAGGATTGTTTGGATTTTGGTCTAGTACATCAGACTCCCTTTCGCCCTAGTGAAATAATTGACCCATCATCAAACCACCAGATAACTAATGACAGCGGTGTAAGATGATTCAACCATCGATAACGCATGAGAAGATACTCGTTGTATGAACAACATATGAGTTATCATACCCCTTCCCATATATGACACATTGGTGTCCTCCTCTGGTTGGGCATGTAAAAATTGCATTGTACCTTTCGAAGCTCTTTTAAGGAGATGTGACGGGTTAAGTGGGAGGACGGCGGGGTTCGCTGCTACCGGATCGAAATGGCTGGTGTCACCCAGCCAAAACAAGTCTTCGCCAGCTCATTTTTTTACCGCGCGCAGGGTGATTTTAGGCTCGGCATCTATAGCTGAGAAAGGTACTGGTGGTTTAATTCTCCAATCCCATGTTCCAGTTGCCGTGACTGGCAAGCACATCCATCCTTCTTCCACAAGGCGGTTTGCAAATACTTGAACACTCCTCTCTCTCTCTCTCTCTCTCTCTCTCTCTCTCTCTCTCTCTCTCTCTCCTGCCTGCATATTCCCCTCCGGGCGCTGACTTTCTCCTACTCCCAAGAATTTGGTGGCTACCATGCTTATGCCATGTGCAATCATCTACACAATTATTAGAACGTTAAACCGCTAATACAAAAAAAAAGAAAACTTGAAATCGGAAAGGAGTCTCTCCGGAAAGTTCAGAGGCTCGGGGCCGCGGGACCAAAATGGTTGGGGCTGCCGCCCAAATGAAAAGACAAGGCACCACGCTGGCATTTCGGAGAAACTTTGTGCACAGGGGAAATCCGCCTCAGGAAAAAGAGGCTCAGATGCATTTCAAATTATCCTATGAGTGAGCTTGATATCATTGGGCTGAGGGGGGTGGTACGCAGTTGAAATTATCCTACAAGTGAGCACGATATCATTGGGCTCTAGGGTGGTCATTTCATCCCATCTGCATATAGACAGTGGTACCATAAATGATCACCTTTCAGCCATGGGAGATCATTTACCCGTATGTCGCGCACACAGGATACCGATAAATGATTGCCCTGCTGCTATCATCGGTGATCTTTTATACTCGCTACAAAGCGTGCATCCGGAACAATTGCCAGAACACTGGGACAAGCAATTGAGTTTAGCGCTGATATTCATAACCTAAGGAGCGCTCACTACGAAGGATTTCGGGCATGTGGCCTATTCAGCAGTCTCACAAAAGACATACTCTACTTACTTTGGGTTCTCTTTCCTATTGGGCGGGATTTCACTGGATCAAGTGAGTGCCATCGGTGACTGTTTTCCCATATGCCTCTACCATTCTCCTCCGAATATAACCGACGGTCGCTATTGCTGTTTTTGGTTGACATCTTCCAGTCTATCCAAAGCGATAATGACCGTATGTTTTATTTGGGGGATGACGGCAGGATAGGATATGGAAATGGTTATAACATACCAGTAATCAGCACATTGCTGCTTGACATAAAAGATGAATCGCTTCTTTCGGACCTTTTTGAAATTCTACCGTCACATACAGAACACAAAAAGAACTCAACAGCACTCTTCGTTCACTTCGTTGTCTCACGATCGAAAACTATTGACAGCAGGCAGGAACTGAGTCATCCCCGAATTGGGTAGAGGAGGATCACTTGTGGTCTCTGGGCCAAAGACATCCTCCCTCATGGTACAGCCTTCGCCCAAGCCAGAGCAAGTCACTCAGATATTCCTCACTTCAGAAAGCTTTGCACGTCATTAAACGACATATGCCTCCCGGTACCGTCTGCGTGGTAAGGACTTCAGACTTCAAAGACGTACACAAACTGTCGTGCCACAAAAACGGACAGAATAACTAAACACCTCACCGAACTCCTGACAACACATTGACACTTCAAAATCTAGATACAACGAAAACTGATATACAATTAAAAAAAAAAAAAAAAAAAAAAARATATACAATTATACCAACGGACAGAACTCGATTCACTTCAAAATGTAGATCTAACAAAACCTGATATACAATTATACCAACCGGGCTAGCTAAGTCGGTACACCTATCATCGACTGAAAGACAGACCTGAGTTCAAATCCAGCTGCAACTAGACGAACTGAAAAGAAATAACTCTGAATTCTGGGGACCGGTCAGTTCAATGATGATCATACCAGAAGGCCATTGTCGTTAAAAAAAAAAAAAAAAAAAAAAAAAAAAAAAACAAAGATATACACCTTAATACAAGACAGATTGCTCTCCCACATTTTTTGAATTTATAGCACTCAGTTACATATCACTCACCAGACTAAGTCCAGCAGGCTTTTCACAAAACAAAAGAAAAGAAAAAAAACATATTACTCCCTGACGTGGAGACTGACGGCGCAGTTGGTAGTTTCTGCGCGGAAACCTTCTGATTCTGTCACCAAATGATGATGATCCCCAACATCATCGTGCCGAAGAGACACGAGCACCAAACTACGGATTTAGGGGTTGAGAGTTCAACTTAACTTAACTTTATTGCGGTCATCATCTGGTTCCATCACGAATCGAAGTCATCGTCTTGCCTACTAACAGTTGCATGTGTGCAAACACTCAAGCACACAGTTCTAAATAGAACTCAGCAGGGAAAACAACAACAACAGCAACAACAACAACAAAGATCGGTTCACTTTCCATATCCATATCTTGCATTTCAGTCGATGATTTGACAAGATATGCATAGGACATTAACAGCAGAAGAAAGAGAATCAAGAAAGACAAAACAATAAAAAACAAAACAAAACAAAACAAAAAAAAAAAAAAAAAAAAAAAAAAAAAAAAAAAAAAAAAAAAAAAAAAAAAAGCAAAACGTGGTGATTTGCGAGACGAGTCCGATATGGTCAACCGGAGAGGGCATTTTTGTTTGATTTCAATCTTTTTCCTGGGCCCAACTCCAGCATCAACAGCAAAACAGAGAGTCGTAGGTGGGGGAATTCATTACCACCACTGTAAAAAAAAAGTCTTTTGACGATTCCACAGTGATTACGCTTTCTCGACTCTTTGACTCTTCGGTACCCTCTTCGACTCTTTGGTACCCTCTGCCCGCTGCGTCTGAACGCCGCTCTTTAGAATCTCCCAATGAGATTTTTCAGCGAGTCGAGTCGTATACTGACCGACCTTCCCACGCATCCAAGTCACATCTCCTTTGCAATATTCCCCTTCCCATCTTCCCCACCCCCCGGGCCCCACTCCTCCCCCTTTTAACTATTTTGCCTTTCCCTTAAAAAGAATGGTAAACAGCATAGGTGAGTAAATGGACAGGCTCTCACCCTGATTAGGCATTTTCAGTGCTCAAAAACTCTATGGAAACATGATCATGATGGCCTTTTACAGTAGATGGTTCCGAGAGGAACCATTGGTTGATTTCTTTCTAGAACCTAGACAATAATTGGGGGATGATTCACCCACCCCGTATGTTTGTCCACACCAGAGACTACCAGCCCCACAGATTAAGCATGGTATCGATCGAACGAACCTTACAGCATTCGTTGGCCAGGTTCAACGATCTCAACAATCACACACACACACTGAGCATGTTGGCTTCAGTTATAAGCTGAAGGACCACAGTCGACGCTGAAAAAAACGAGGCGACGTGGGGCAACTGCATCCAACATGGACCCCACTGCAGCAGCCTGCCTACTCAACAGGAAGGTAAGCATGGGTTTCATCGGGAGGCACACAGGAACGTGAGTTTGTCTAGTGATGCGAAACGCATGGCAATGCAACATTTGATGCTGGGCACCTGCACAGGGCTTTCATCATGAGGTTGCAGACTTAACAAATGTGGATTGAAGAAAAGTTGGAAAACAAACGAAAGTGAAATAGAAATCGAAAAAGGGGTCCTCAAGGGTGGTGCCTTTAATCATTGATTGGCACCTTGCCAAGACTGAACGAACACCGATTCTTCCGCGAAACTTTCCACTCACCCTGAACCTTCGAGCGGTTGCTGGGCAGTGACCACAGCGGGAGGAAGATTCTCCGGTTCCAAGAACCCTCCTCCTACTACTATACTTCTCCTCCTCTTTCTTGAGGTTCACTACCGCCTCTCTCCTCGAGCAAACTTCTGCTGCTTCCCTGCGACACGAGGTCTATGTGATCGCCTCCCTCGTCATTGGCAGTCGAGCGTGCATCCACCAACGTGACCGAGAGAATGACGCCCGACTTGAACTGGCGGCAAATCGTCCAACCCTCACCTGTGAGTCGTCCGTCTGAGGAAGCCGGGGTACAAGTGCCCATTCCACCAACAGCAATGGAGCCCTCTCCTGCAGAAGAGCTGCCTGCTTCCGATCTCGGCCTCTCCACCTCCACGTCTAGGACATCATCAACCTCCTGTCCTCCGTTCTCTACCCTCGATTCCGGGTCCTCCTTTGCTCCCCTGGAAGCTGCCATCATCCCTTCAGAACCTTCCGATGAGCACGCTCCTTTCAGCCCTACTTCCACTTCATCCTGCATGTTGATTTTCTGGAGGAGGAGCTCTAGGAAACTCACCAGTTCCTCCCCTTCTCCCTGCAGCGATCCACTCCTCCTCGCCCACCTTGACAAGCTTTCATCACCTGAGCCCCCAATGCTCTCACTTTTGCAACCCCCTTCCTGCAAAGCTAGCCACCCCTTCATACCTTCCCTCGGCGTTCGAATGAGACCCATGCCCTCCAGGTTGCATCCAATATCTAATCCCAGAGGTTCCCGTTTTCCGTCTGACCCAAAGTTTTTGTCCCTTGTCAAAAGGGAATTCGTCAGCCCCCCTTGTGGGATATAGGCAAAACTGCTGCCCGAGTACCCGTTCATGACTGGCGTCACCAGAGTGAAGGGGCCAACTGACCCATGCCCAATGCCATTCGCACTTTGTGCCCCACCCGCATTTAATGCAACAACCCCTCCTCTTGCCCCCTCAACACCCCCCCCCACATCTGTATCCCCCATGGTGCATCCCAACCCATTCATGAAGGGCCCTGCCGCATAGTAATGCCATCCTGTTACGAGACCTGGCATCATTCCGACATGACCCTCGGGAGACGTTGCTGACCGTACCAGATCAGCAGTGCCAAACAGATCTCCAGAGATTGCACCATTCGCCAAGGTTTGATGATGGGCCACCATCACGGGCATCGAGTACAGCAGTGCCCTATCCATACACCCCCCTGAGAGAAGCCCTTCCTGCGACCTCCGAACACTCATAAGAGGCCCAAGACAGTCGCCTTCACTCGGCCCTGCTCCACAGCCTGCCGTCGTAGCAACAGGCACTGTTCCCACTGCGGACACAACAGCACGAGTCTTCTGCTGGTTCGACTTTTCATCCGAAAATTGCCAGAGTCCATGAGCTTCTTCCTCTTCCCGTGAACCACATCCCTCACCTGTGCTTCCTCCCACACTTCTCACTGACCTCTGCACAGAGTCCAACCCCACATCGGAAGACCGTTCGAGTGCTGACTGCTCCTTCTGCTGCCCATGTTGTTGCTGTTGCTGCTGGTGGTGCTGCTGATGTTGTTGTTGTTGATTGTGCTGCTGCTGCTGGTGTGGTAATTGATGCTGTTGCTTTTGCAACTTCTTCATCTTTTTTATCTTCCGGTGGAGCCGCTCCTTCTCCTTTCTCATGTCATTTATAGGCTGATGCCTCCGTTCGCCTTCGTTCTTTCCAGTCACCCTCTTATCTGACTCAGTCACACACCTGGCTGACTGACCCAATAGCGAGTTACTGCCACCCATTGCTCTCTGCCGCATTTCGTGGCTTGAGGACGCCAATGCCAAAAGTTCTTGCATCCTATCCTGCCAATCAGAATTCAATCTACGCGCAAAGTCGGCCACCTCCCTGCACCCACCATGACATACAGATCACAAGACCCATCTGAAATATATTGAAAGCAGAGCTTGGATGTTTGTAACCATACCAGTTCAAAAAAAAAAAAAAAAAAAAGTTCAGAAACTAGGAAGATTTTCATGACCGGCTGGGGGGTCTGTCGCCCAAGATACCCGGACATGGGAAAAAAGAAATGATTTCCCCTTCCCCCCCCCCCCCCCCCGGCGGTGGGGGTTTTCCGCACTCTGCGGGAGGAGCCCAAATCCGGCCTCGTCTTTTTTTGAGTGATGGCTGTCAAGGGGGGGGGGGAAGGGGGTACAAACTGTTTTTAAAGGGGCTAAAGGGGTTTAAAGGGGGCTGCCTTAGTGTGATTCGATTATTTTCTTTTTTATCTTCAGTTCCGTGAGGAATTCTGATGTGACCCTCAGCCAAAAGTCGCTTGTATTGCAATTCTACACAACATATTCTTTTTACGGATTTTTTTGGATTTTTAAAATTTTAAAATTATTGTTTTCTTTGCGCAGGGGCTGCCCGGGACCCTGCCCAGGGTTCAGGAACAGCCTAGTTCATAAACATACTGACATCTTTGCACGTCGGCAAACTGGCGTAGCAAGTTTGAAAGGAATCAACAGACGCAAGAGATGCTGCGTAGATTGTGCCCCATACATGAAGACTAACCGGTCCATTAAAACCTACAAATAAAATCCTTAAACCACCAGTACTTGGTCCAGCTATCGGCCGCGGGAAAAAATGGAGTAGAAGCCTTTCTAGTCGGATGAATTTTTGGGCGCTCATCTAGTAGCCCGTACGTTTCCTAAAATTGTGGCGCGTTAACGGGCACGTCTCTAGGAAGTACTGTGGTTTAAGTGGGTATATGAACCATCCATCCACCCCTTTCCTTCCTTCCCTCCTGTTCCCCTTCCCACCACTACGAATACCCCACCAACAAGGCGGGAACACCAAGGAACAAAAAACACCCTTAATCACAGCATCCCCTTGAACCACCAGTTCCTCACCACGGCAAGCTTGAGAGTCGAAATTGCATCAATCCCGGTTCTTTGGATGAACGGTGCTACCGGACCAAAGAGGCTGGCAGCGCCAGCCAAAGAGGCTTGGTGGTTCGTCTATTTTTGGTGTGCGGTGCAAATCCGCATACGGAAAAATAAGCCTGGGAGGTACTGGTGGTTTAACAGCAACTATCAAAATCACCGCTAACCACTTTATCTATTTCCCATGTGATCCGCTTCTACCTTCTGTATTTTCATTCCTTTTCTAATTTCACAGCCAATCAACACATAAGCCATCAATACAAATCACATTCCATCATCCTTTTCCCTTGTTGCCCCTTGTTTTCCTCCCCATCAAACACACCTCCCATTTCATGCTGCCCCCTTCCCTTCTGTTGTTCTTCCTGCGCCCTGCGCCCTCCCC